GCAGCAGCAGCCTGTGCTGGCCTTCACCGCGCAGGGACAGGAGCGCGCCGCTGCCGTGACAGGGAAGCTGGGCCCAAGGTTCCTGTGGCCAGGCGCGCCTGCTGGGACAGCGGGTCATACGGGCAGCTGGTATCAAGGGGGACGAAAGCAACGAGAGAAAGGGAGGTCTGATCCCTAGCTAAGCAATGCCTGTTGCAGACAAGTCTTTTTTCCTCGAGGATGGGGTTGTATTAGGCTTGGTTTAAGTTGCACTGGGCTGTAACTGCGCAGGGCTTGTTGCTGCATATTTATATCTGGAATAGTTAACAGTAGGTGACAGGGGAGCAGCAGAACTTAAAAGGCCTCTGTCTTTCCCTTCCTTCTGCTTCTCCTTCGCCTTACACACAGCTACCACAGACACAGCCAAAACTGCAGGACTTGGATCAGTCTGCATGCCTGGATGTGGTGTAGCATACGCTTTCTGAAGGAGAAGGTTGCCCTGTGTTATCTCTCCTCCAACGTGTAAGGCTTCAGCTACTGACAAAGGGACAGCAACCAAGTGATGCTCACACTCAGCTCACCTCATGGAGAGACTTACCTGAGGGCCTTTCAGAGCACAAGTCAAACTTTCAATACTCTCACTTGGTCTGGAAAAGTGGCTGCAGGGGAGGCTGTTTCTGTCAACAGAGGGAGCTGACGAAAAGTTAAATGAGCCTTTGAACTTGCTGACTCCTACTTCCAGCAGCGCTTAGGGAAAGTGGGGAAGGGTTTACATGCTGCATGTGTGAGAAGAGCTTCCTGGAAGGTCTAGGCAACTAAACATCGATTATTTCTTGATCAATAATTGAAACCTTTAGAGATCAAATTAAAGATGCTATTTAGTGTTCAGGATGTATACCTACGATGCCCTGGCTTTTGGTCAGAAAGTGCAATTCTATCTTCTGCTAAGCAGAATACTAGAGCTGTTCAATAATACATATCTAGCTCTAGGAAACTCAGGTTCTGAAATAAGATGAAGTCTTCCCTACTTCAGTTTCTAGAACAGAAAGCCCTGCATGCTGTCTTTACAAGCAGTGGTGAAAAGCTATATGGCTTTGGGAAACTGGATATTGATTTCCTATGGGGTAGGATCCTGTGTAACCAGTCAATAAATCTACTAAGACTGGATGTGAGCTGCAATAGTAAACAGACCCTTTTTATGAAAATCAGTCTGACCTTTTTTAGACATATCTTTTAGGATAAGATGAATAGTGCTGTAGAAATGTCTCTTTAGCTTCACTGACAAAAAGAAAGTGGGCTGACTGGTTCAATTGTCAGTATTTGCATTGTCCCACTTAGAGTGTCAAATCTGCTTTTAGAATACTGGTACTACAGAATCAGTGCTATTCTGAAAAGTACTTGACAAATATCCCTGCATATGGGTTTAAAAGGAATGATTACGGTTAGAATTGTTTTTTCCAGTGGCATCTCAGGTGCCTAAGAAACTCTCCAGCATAAAAACTGTTGTGCCTTTAGCTAGCAGACATGCTGCGGCAGGCTTGGAAGGGAGGAATATCAGGAGAGCTGGAATGGAAAAGACGCAGGTGAGTAATGAACATTGAAATGCACAGGGAGGGTATCTGGTTTCCTGATATTTTTTTTGTTTTACCTTGCTGTAAGCCTGGAATCTGTTACATGGGTACTATCTTACTGACATGGAGAACAGTAACATGAGGAGGTCCATTTAGGAAATGTCTCCTAGACAAATGTCAGGAGCAATTCCTTCATTATTTGTTTGATTCAGCTTATTTCCTCTTCTCTTCCTCCAGGTTATTGTCCTGCAAATTAAAATCAGAACTAAGCTAATGAACCCCTCAAGATGCATTTGTTACCTCTGGGGGAAAACATGTATTGTAAAAAATACGCATGAAAAGCATGAATGACTTAGTTTTCCACTTGCTTTAATAACTACTATGTGCGAAGAAGATAATTTCTTCAGTTTTGCAGTATGTAGCTGTTCATTTTGTCACAAAGACAGAATGGAGTGCTATGAAAAATTTGCCAAAAACTAGTTTTCTATTTTATTTTTCAAAAGAAATATTTTTGTCATTACAAAACAAGGTCAGCTTCTTGGCCAAGGATGAAAGAACACATGGAATCTGCCTCACATGTGGAACAGGCTTCAGATCACTTCTCATGTAGATGTTATTTTCCATGGCTGTACACTTTATCCCTTCATTTTTCCTTGTGGACACTCACACACTTTTTTTTTTTCTTTTTTTTTTCTTCTTTTCTTCTTTTTAGATATTATCCATGCTTTTTGGCCATCTTAAATAAACCTATGCTTCAGCCACCCACCTGTTTCTGTTCACTAACTCACTGGAAATTCTCTGTTCACTAACTTGTAAGGATCTCATTTGAAGCATAGTAATAGTTGCCTGTCATAGTAAAAGATGCTACCATAACATTGCACTCTAACCCACTTCTTTATTTCAGTGCTATCTAATTGTTACTGTTCATATATTAAATTGTAAACTTTTAGTCAGTGTCCATGCTTTTTCTTGTGCTCTCCTTTCCTTGACGTACCAGTTGCAAGGTCACTGCTGAGGATGCTGATGGCTGTTTTCTGCTCCTTTCGAAAACAATGCTTTTTTCTTTCCTGTCCCCCTCCATGGTCTGTGAATTTCAGAATTGTTTAATTAAACAACTCAATGGGTTTAATAATCTTAGTTGAATCTATCCAACAAAGAAATTTAATATTCTTTTTTCTTTTTTTGTGAGATAAGAACTTTTTGTAAAGTAATGTATGTAAACCATTCCTTCTTAACAAGTAGCATCTTCTGAAAGATGAGCATATGTCATTGCCCTCACTGGCCTCACTCCTAGTCATAAAGTCATAAAATGCTTAACCATAAGGTTGGAAGGGACCTTAAAAAGTTATGTAATCCACCCTTCCTGCAATGAGAAGGGACCTCGTGAACTAGATTGCTCAGAATCTCTTCTTTCCAGGGATGGGCATTTACAGCCTCTCTGGGAAACTTGTTCCAGTGTTTCACCACTGTTATCCTAAAAAATGTCTTCCTTAAATCTAGTCTGAATCTATCCTCTTTCCTTGTCCTATTGCTACAGGCCCTACTAAAAGTCTGCCCTCATCTTTCTTACAAGCTCACTTCAAGTATTGAAAGGCCATAATAAGGTCTTCCCAGAGCCTTCTCTTCTGTAGGCTAAACCCGTGTCAGCCTGTCTTCATAGGAGAGGTGCTCCAGCCCTTTGGTCATCTTCGTAGCTCTCTGAATCTGCTCCAACAGGTCCATGTCCTTCCTGTACTGAATGCAGTACTTCAGGTGAGGTCTCACAAGAGTGGAGTAGAGGGAGTCATCTCCCTTGACCTGCTGGCCATGTTTCATGTGATGCAGCCCAGGATTCGGTTGGCTTTCTGGGCTGCGAGTGCATATTGCCAGCTGATGTCCAGTTTTCTCATCCACCAGTACTTCCAAGTCCTTCTTTGCAGGGATGCTGTCCATCTCTTCATCCCTCAGCTGGTATTGTTGGCAGGGATTGCACTGCCCGAGCTGCAGGACCTTGCACTTGGCCTTGTTGAACCTCATGATGTTCACATGGGCTCACTTCTTAAGCTTGTTCAGGTCCTTCTGAATGGCATCCCATCCCTCAGGCATGTCAGCTTCACCGCTCAGCTTGGTGTTATCTGCAAACTTGCAGATGGTGCACTTGATCTCACTGTCTTCATCACTACTTCAAGTATTGAAAGGCCATAATAAGGTCTTCCCAGAGCCTTCTCTTCTGTAGGCTAAACCCGTGTCAGCCTGTCTTCATAGGAGAGGTGCTCCAGCCCTTTGGTCATCTTCGTAGCTCTCTGAATCTGCTCCAACAGGTCCATGTCCTTCCTGTACTGAATGCAGTACTTCAGGTGAGGTCTCACAAGAGTGGAGTAGAGGGAGTCATCTCCCTTGACCTGCTGGCCATGTTTCATGTGATGCAGCCCAGGATTCGGTTGGCTTTCTGGGCTGCGAGTGCATATTGCCAGCTGATGTCCAGTTTTCTCATCCACCAGTACTTCCAAGTCCTTCTTTGCAGGGATGCTGTCCATCTCTTCATCCCTCAGCTGGTATTGTTGGCAGGGATTGCACTGCCCGAGCTGCAGGACCTTGCACTTGGCCTTGTTGAACCTCATGATGTTCACATGGGCTCACTTCTTAAGCTTGTTCAGGTCCTTCTGAATGGCATCCCATCCCTCAGGCATGTCAGCTTCACCGCTCAGCTTGGTGTTATCTGCAAACTTGCAGATGGTGCACTTGATCTCACTGTCTTCATCACTGAAGATACTAAACTGTACTGATCCCAGTATGTACTGTGTGTCAGTCTTCCATGTGTCAGTCTTTCATCTCTACAGTGAAGTCACTTACGTAGAATTACACTGGGATTTACAAGCAGGACCTGAGTTAGAACTAGGGTATTCAGAGTTCTGCATCAAGGTCCACAATCATGCCCTAAATGTGTGATGTGGGGGTCTTTGAGGTAACGTTGTGGTATGACCAAATCTCAAGTTCTTCCTAACACCATTTGGAAAAATGGTCCAAATCTATTGATCTTCTTAGATATAGTAATTAATGACTATTTAATTTGTGCTGCCTTGAAGCACAAAAGGATGGGATGCATTAAAAACTAAAATCTTCTCACATTTCAGTGAATGTGTGTGGTCTCTTTGTGGTCCAGAAGATTACTTGCTTGTATACACAGTCGGTTTTCCACGGAAATGTCATCACTTATTTTAGAGAGATACAGATCCAAGCAGTCTGATCAGCTTTCTGCCAAGTTGTCTATGTAAATTATACATAAAGTGCCTCTCATAGCTGAAGGCCTGCTGTAGAACAACTGGGATATATAAAGGAAGAACACTTTTTTTTCTGGCTATTTTTTTGTAAGACATTTCTTACCATGACTGCAACAGGGTTTTGAAGAAGAGTAACACAGAGTGTGCTTGGAAGCATAGATTTCACAGGCATTGGAGGAAGAACATGCTAATCTTCAGTGGCTGGTAAAAACATCAGCTGCATTATTTCCACCTGACTGTAATAAAGAATTACAGACCAAATAGACAACTGGCATCAAAGCATTCAACTCGGTGCACACTGTGAATAAATGCATACTACTAGGGATTGGTGGAGAGATTCCTATCTTGTGCGAGCTGACCTGAGCCTTTGCCTGAATCTTGGCTAAAGGCCTAAGCTAATTAAAAAAAAAATGCTCCAGTAACAGTTCAGAGCTACCTTTTCTCATTTCTGCTGCATCATCTGTTTCTTTGACACTCCAGGAAATGATAATGAGACACCTTGTAGATATTTTCATTTTCATATTGTGATACTGGTGTAAGTAATGGGATCATAGAGTCCAAGCTCTGGAACCCTGGTCTGAGAAAGGACTCTGACATCCAGTAGGTCTCATGCTGGAATCAATGGCCCTGCAGTGTATACACCACAAACCCAATCTTCCCTCATAGAGCAAGCCCAAATCATGAGACTTACTGACTGCATGCAGAAAACATGGTATTGTTTGCTGGTAAAACTAGCCCAAATGCTAATTCAGAAGAGGACAAGAGGACACTAGGGTTTGGCAGGTGACCGATGGTAGTACCTACAGCTGCGCTGGCCTGGGACCTCTTCCACCAGTAAGATGGCCTTGTTGAGACAGGTTTGTTAAAGTTTGTGTGATCGTTAGCAGTGAACTGGTGTTTTATGGAAGGAAAGATTGCTTAAGATAGAGCATGTGGTCTGGACACTGGTATTCTATATCTGTTACTGACTGCCCATCCAAAAGACAAGCACTTTGAAGCTTTTTGTAACAAGTGTTGAACTCTTTTGAGGGGATTTATGTTGTCCATGATGCTAAAATACACTTTTGACAGATTTCTTCATTCAGTTGTGTTTTCACTTCATTGCATTGACAGAAATGTCCTTCTCAGTTTCCAGTGGTCCAGGACGTTGGATATAGCATTGCAGGAAGAGGTGACATGAAGGTCTGTGAAAATACCAATTGCACCTGGAAGGGTATGTTCCATTATAGCAAATACGTTCACGCACACTGAACAGTAAGATAGAGCAGGCTGCGTGTACACAGGAAAAGCAAGTGCACCTGCCTGTTCCAACAGATGTTACAGGATAATACAAAGTGCCTGAAATCTGTGCTGTGCTGCTCAGGGCTATTTCTAGAGTTCTCCTGCTTGTGAGAGCTTCTTCCAGTGTGGTTAACCTGTAGTAGTTTACCTGTCTCTCATTTGGGTTCCATCTGGTGCATTGATGGGCTTAAAACATAAATTTCCTCCCAGCTTTTCAGTTTTAGAACCCTACAGATAATGTAGGGTTGTGCTGCAATATGGGCACAAGGTATGTATTTCATGGACTGTTGAGTACATGAAGGTGCAAGACACGCAGAGAAGGTGGGGTCTTGTTTCTCCTACCTGTAAGGAAAGGTAGTTAAAGTAAACTGCACTGCCTGTGTTTTCATCTGTTGGGGAGTTGGTTAATTTAGTCCAAAAAATTTCTTAGGAATGAATGAGCATAAAAGAGTGAATGATCAGGTGATGGAAAATAAGTGGGGTGCGAGGAGCTAACCTGTGAAATAATATGGATATTCTCAGAGTTATTTGAATGTGAGGCAGTTCAGTAAATACCAAACCAGTATTTTGTTGTATTCTGTCTTGGACAGAAGATTTGGTTTGGTGATCTGGCTATTTCTGTGTATGATGGGTTCTTAACAGTCAGGGCCCGATTCATGCTCGAGTGAAAACAGTAAAACCAGCTTCTTTATGAATCTGTAGTTCAGCTCCTGTAGGAGAAGCTGGGGGCTATGTGATAGATTTATATATTCTGTTGCTGCTCTTCTTCATGCAAATAAGACTCATTTCAGAGCAGTCAATAGCAACAGTATAGGGATTAGTCACAGTGGTTTGTTTGTTTTATTTTGTTTTCCTTGATGGCAAATGTATACAGGTATCAGGAACACCAGGTTTTATCCCACCAACCTACTTGTTGATCAGATGGTCTGGTGTGACAGTACTGACTACTTACCATTTCCCAGGTCTCATTTTGAGAAGTGAGAGAGGCATATGAGAGCCAAAATCCTATCAAAAGTCATTGATGTTTGCTAGTGTCCAGGCAAAGTAACACAAAATGGTGTAATGAAACTCAATTGGCACCAATTAAAAAGCCTGTTATGCACATTTGTGTGTCTGTGAAGTAGTGAATGGAGCTGAAAGAGTAATCAGTATGAATTTGGGATAGATTAATTACTCATGGGAGAAGAGTAACTTGAAATGAGTAACAGGGATGATTTCATCCTTTATATTTCACTTTGTAGTAATAACTACCAATATAAAAGAAGAAATAAATTTTCAGAGTGTTTCAGAAGTGTTGCTATTAATCAAGATGTTACAATTAAGTGCTTTAATGTTCCTGTATTATCTTACTTGGCTGACTGGGTTCAGAAACTTTTGGTACAGTTTTAAAAAAATAACCAAAAATCTAGCTATTAGAAATACAGATTTTTCTGTACAGAGAATTCTCATTTCAGGGACCTTAGACCTTTTTACGGTTAGAATGCAGTGTTAGATGTCCCACTGGGCAGGTTGTTCCTGCAAGCCTGCTTGATTGTTTAACTCCACAAAATACTAGATACAGAAGAAAATCACTATGGCCTGCTTCTTGCTGATCTTCAGTCTTTATTTGGAGAGAGAGGGAGTACCACAGCTGAGAGGGGAAACATTTGTTGTCTGGCAGAAATGTGTTTTGTATTAAAGGGAGAAGACTCATGACAGAGTAGAGAAGAACTGTGTGAAATAAGCTCTCCATAATTTGTCACTGGATTTCCATGTAGGATGTTTATGTGTGTATTTAAGTTACATTTACAGTGTGAAATTTTGTTGAACAGAGAAGGTTAGTTGTAAAGATAAATAATGACTTCTGACCCTGGAACTTTTGCTACTAAATATTCCGCTCTGGAGAATAATTCAAAAAGGAAGTCAAAACACAGAGAAAAGTGCAGAAATGTGAATCTCCAGCTTTCTGCTCTGCACATTACTGCAAGATAATTTCTTACACATAAAAATCTAGCATTAGATGATTCATAGTGCTAATGATCTGGCTTTTTTTAGTATGATGTTTAGGAGTCCCTGCAGCGTAACGTAGACAAAGACCACAAAGGGTGACTCTCCTGCTTGCTCATGCTTGGATTTGATTTTGTTTTTCGCTTATGTGTTGTCACAAGCTTTGTGTGCTGTGATCGAAGTTGTGTGCTTTAAAAACCTTTTCCTGTGGTTATGTATTGAGGGAGACCTTTTGGTGAGAAATTAACACCAGAAAGCAAAAAGCTAATTGCTGTATGAGGGCGTTTTGAAGTGGGAGAGCACATATAAAACATTCTGCTACAACTTCGACAGAAAACTAAGGCAAAACACAAAACCCCTCACGTATTGAGCTGTGGTAGAATTTAAGCAAAATATAATGGACCCTATTCTCTGTTCTAGCTGATGAAATGCATGGAGGACTGAAAGAGGTGGTAAAACTATGATGAAAGGCTTAGGCCTGAGAAAAACTGGTGGTATTTTGCATTACTGATTTGTGTGTGATGAATCTTCAAATACAGGGTGCCGAGGGGGGAACCAAAATGAGTTTAGAGCTGTTACCAAGATGAAGCCTTCCGTACCAATGGAGCCAGAAGTGAGACTTCATATTACTGGCTTGCGCAATGATTACTGTAAGTTAATTTCTTATTTGTGGTGGTTTTTGCAGAGATTGGGAATTCGTATGTATGTTTCAAGAAAGATGGCGAAGGTGTATCCCCTTCACATAAAATGGAAACTGTGAGACATGTGCATGATGTCATTTATCTTATAAGAATGCATCTTTGAAAACTGCCTGGAAACTTACTGATCAAACCCTAGAATCAATACTACATCTCATGCAGTTTCCTTTGGTTGTTGATCTCAATACAACTTTTGGGTCAACCCAGTATACTTCTGCTTAATTAAATTAGACTCCATCCTGTGTCTTTCTCAATAACAAGAATTACTTTGGAACAAGGGTGTTTTGGGAACTGTAGCTGTTGCTGAAGGACCCTTGTTTCTGGTAGCAGAAATTTGAGTGAGTGATGTGGTGATCTGAAATGCAGGATAAGAGGTTAAAAAATTCTAGTGAGGAAGCTGTAAGTCAGATCCTGGTATACAAACATATGAGTTGTTGAGATTAGATTTATGAAGACCTTGGCTTGTTAGAGAGACTCTCCTTCATGTAGGAAGAAAACTTGTTAGTAGTGGTTTCATAGAAACATTCTCTTGCTGTTTTTTTATAGCTAATTATAAAGAAAAATTTGGCTTCACTTCCCCAAACCATCCTATTCCCCAAACTCCCCCTCTTCCCATCCTATTACTGACAACTTTTGGTGGTAATTCTTAGTAGCTTTCTTCTAGATCTAAACATACTGGACTGGAGCCTTGAAAATCTCATTGCTATTGCTGTAGGACCTGCTGCACACATCTGGAATGGAGAAACCCTTCAAGCCATTGGAAGCATTGATTTGAATTCCAGTTCCAAATACATTTCATCTCTAGCTTGGATAAAAGAAGGAACTTGCCTTGCAATTGGCACCAGTGATGGAGAAGTGCAAGTACTAGATAATTTACTTTTTTAGTCTTTCTCCATTTTTAGCTAAAGTGGTCACACGACAATTTGGTACCTTCTTTTTTCTTTCTTTTTTTTATGGAAACAAATGAACAACTATAGAAGAACACTGCGGGAGACAATACACTGCCTGTATCGTGCTGCATTTTACTGGAGGGCTTAGTGACATCCAGTGTTATCTATATGTAAGGGAGCTTCTGAAGCCACTAAATTCCTAGTGACCAAATTAATGATTCAGTTGTCCAGAGACAGTCAGATATTTTGGTTTTTTTTTTTGCTACCTGTAAGAGGAACTCTTTCATTAAATTATCTTACTCAGCACAGGGTATTTTTTCTTGGGTCTCTCTTGCAAAGTTCATTGAAGTGGTCAAAGGCTTGAGACCTCAATCCAAAACTTTCCTTACAGATTCACACACGAGAATTTGCCTTTAATCTGATCACATGCATACATCATTGCCTGCTGTTATAGGACAGGCCTGTCGTTAAAGGATTTTTGTGGGACTTTGGCTGAGATGCTAGATAATATGGGGACCTACCTGCTGCAGTCCCTAGTCAGCAAAATCTGAAAGTACTGAAGTCTGGTGCTTTCAAGTACGGACTTCCAAATATTGACACGTTATTAAACAGCTTTGAACTCGGAGATGTGTATTCCCTTCAATCCTGTCTGACTTCAGTATCAATGATATAGGCGCCAAAATTTGGAAATACTCCTTCTTACTTGTGAAATTAATGAGCTTGAGATTGTGCATATGCTGCATCAGAACTGAGAAGTGACTTACTTGCAAAAAAATGAAGAGAACAAAAATCTTTTTTCTTTTTGTTGTTAAATTTTAATTTCTTGTTTTGGTTTTGCAGCTGTGGGACATTGAAACCAAAAAGAGGTTGAGAAATATGTTTGGTCACCTGTCCGTGGTTGGAGCACTGAGCTGGAATCATTATATTTTGAGCAGGTGAGTGGTATAGTATATTCACAGAAACAGCACTGCTGCTTTTACTTACACAAATGTCCTATTCATTTTAGCTGTTTTCCTTGGCTGTGCTCAAAAGTGATTTATTCTGTCTCTCTACTTATCAGCCATCTCAGAAATCATACGCAGATTTATTGTATGTAGGAAAGCAGCCAAAGGGGATTTAGCCTACCTCCTTAGTCTCCATTTCTTACTTTCCTTCCAGAAAACTGTCACCACTTGCAGAATATTGCTAGGCTCTGGACTTGTGCAAAGCCTCAGCTTGAGATGGTGTCTACATCAGATCTGGGCTCCCAAAATTACAGCCTGGCTAGTGCAGGGCAAGGGGCATGTAGTTTTGACTGCCCCTCCACTGATAGCAAGACTGCATCTGTCTTTTGAGCTGCCCAGTGAAACACAGCTGCTAAGAGTTGCACACCTCTTCACCTGTGTATGTACAAGGGAAGGCCATCTCACTGCTGTCCAGGAGACTTGAAGTGCTTGATCTTTGCTTTGCCAAAGGTGAATTTTATACTGACCGGTATATATTTAGGGATCATTTCAGTATGAGGACTCTGATGGGAAAGATCAAGTGTGCTCTTTTGTGTTTTTTTGCTTCCACTTTTAGATCTTTGACTTGAAGGAGCTGAGGGGAGACTTGTCTGTGATTGATGCCTCTGATTTTAAAATCATCGGATAGTCTTCCATTTTACTTAGATGGAGAAATAATAGCAAGGGTGGGCTGACTTTGTTAAACTCAAAATGAAACTAGTACCTGGCTAGGAACACTAGTGGTAGGTTTGTTTTGATTTCAAAGTATTCTCTGGTTTTGATTGTATTGGGTCTGCTAGGTGGAGTGAGGTACAAGGTTACCAGCTGAACACCAGTTAATAAAATGCTGTTGCTGGAGCAGGTGTGCTGTGTGGGTTAAGTTATGAGGATGCAGCTATAACATCCTGCCAGTGCCAAGTGATGTAACCTTGTTACAGAAAGCATTAGTTTCAGTTTGCATTTCAACTTGGCCAAGGAAGTGAAAACAACACAAACTTAAATTACAAATCCCTCTGAGTAGGAATTGGTAATAAAATTCAGCATGAACCTGTGAATCTGACAGATTAGGTTGAGATAATATTTATTTCTTTTGCTACGTTTGAGGCTAACCAGTTCATTCTAACAGAGCAGAGTTAAAATATCTGTGTAAGTAGAAAAAAGATGTATGGTTAATAGTCATTGTTAATAAAATACGAACAGCATTCTTACAGTAAACTTCACTGTGGACAATTGATAATTTGGGATTATATGCTAATTCCAGTGATTAAAAATAGTCCAACAACACATCATCATGAACTGTAAATAAATTTCAGTACTGTAAGTTAACCCACCCCACTATTTTGTTGTCTTCACTTTGCCTTTAGCAAAACAGATGCCATCTTCTGTGTTAAAAGCAAACAATTCTGATTTCTTTTTATGCCGAGCGGAAAAATGTTCTTTCAACCAGGATTCTCAGGAGCCCAGTTCCTTTCCATTTACGCTACTAGAATTACTGAAAACCTTCATATGGCCAACACAGGCAATTCAGTTCTGTTTCTTTGTTCCAGAAGACAAATGTCATATTAACAAATGCTCCCAAATCCTCCTCCTTTCTCTTCTTTTTTATTGCTGAGCAGATTTCATATGGTCTGGAATATCCCTTTCGTCAGTTTGGGTCAGCTGTTCTGGCTATGTCCCCAACCAAGGTCTTGCACAGCCCCAGTCTTGACGAGGGGGGGAATGTTCAGAGTCAGCCTTGATGCTGAATGAGCACTGCTCAGCAGAAGCCCAAACACTGACGCATTACCAACACCTTTCTAGCGACCAGTACTGAGCACAGCACTATTGAGGGCTGCTATGGCAAAGGTAGCTTCATCTCAACCAGTCATAATGCACTGGGTTAGATTTTCTGCTTATTATTTAGTAGGAAAAATCTATACAGATCTTTGAGAGGCAAATGGTAATGCCTTTGCATATAATGCATGTAGTCACATGTATTTTCATAGGTATTTTCCGTAAAGATGTGCCTAATGCGCACTTGAGCACTGCTTGGTTGTAATCTTTCATGTTTTTTTGAACTTCAAGAGATTTGGCAAGTCCATAACACAAGCACAACAGAGTGATATTTTTTGCAGTCAGTTTTGTGTGTGCATTTTTAGAGCTTACAAATCACTCAACTGCATATGAAGAATCTTTAAGACCCAGTACAGGAAAGTCATCAGTCATTATTGCCCTAAATTAGTTTACTGTAGTAGTCAAGTATCTGTTTATTAGAATCCCAGAAAGATGGTATTGGACTTATTTTTCAGTGTCATCATGACAGTTGG